AAAAAGATAACTCTTGCATGCATAGCATGCCAATGTTCAATTAGTGCTGTCAACTGAAGCCTCACAACAGTGTTTAGTTCAACAACACAAGCAACTGACCAGTGACCATTTTAGAATGGCAGCTAAACTGACTCACAATTACAATTTGTTGCTAGCTTTTGGAAACAAAGGCAGATCATAACATCTTGAGCTACCTTCCCTCTTTTTTGTGAGAAGTGTGTGGGTTCCTTAATGTCCAGTGCTAACCAGGGGTCAATTTAATAAAGAGAATACAATTGTAGTTTTTACAAGTGTAAGTTACACGGGTTAGGTCGGACTTGTAAATACAAGGATTTGATAAAACAATATTCCACATTGGAATTATACACATTTATCTCAAGTCAGTGCACAAGTGTAAATCACAATTGTAGAATTACAATTGTAAAATTGAACAGGAGGGTCTCAATTAGGAGAAGGATTTTAAGGATAATAGTTTGTTTCTTCCCATTAGTTTTTAAATTAAAAAATTTTACAGTTAATTTTTTTATGAGTAGTGGTTAAAATTTGTCAATTTTTTTTTTGTAGCCGTTTCACAGGTTACAATTAACCCTATTGAGACCCTCCTACAACTGTAGACTTTGCTTGAATGCAGTTAAAAATTGTTGCTTTCCTTTCAATACATGTGGCTTTGCTATGCTTGCTTATTATTTTATTTTTGAACTGTCACGGAGCTTGTTATCTAAACAGCAAAAGTTACTTCTGGCTCAGCTTGTCAGGGAACATAGAATAATAGTTTTGGTGCCACTTTTGTCAACTTTGACATAAAAACTAAGGGAATAAATACTCAAAGTTGCTGTATTGCCACTACTGCATGCTCTGTTCCATCTCGTTTTATGCTCCAAACATGGGCCTATTAATTTCAAAAGGTGGACAAAACTTTTCTCGAAATTCCCTTGGATTTTCAATGTCGAAAAGCTGTCCCTTTTGGAAATTAGCTTGGCAGATAATTTGATGTCTCAGCAGCGCTTTGAGTTCCCCTTCATTAGAAGATGAAATATAATGTGACACTCCGATGTAATTTTTCAGAAGGAATACTCAATGTTTTTGTGAGTGGTGTGTGACTTGTATTTTGCACATACATGAAAGTACAAGTTTGACTCTTGTAAAAGTCTAATTTAATTTGTTACTTACCATCTTTTACACCAGTTGGGCTACACCTGTAATTACAAGTTGGACACTTGTAACCTGGACTTGTAATGATGTTTAGTAAACTCATTTTTGTCTACACTTTTACAATGATCCAACCTGTAGATAACAAGTGTAAAATTTTCATTAAATTAACCCTAGTAAAGAGAAGATGCAGGTGGGAGATGACTGTCCAAGGGAGTTAATATTGGCATTTGCTAGTGATAATGAAGAAGAAAGTGAAGGTGAGAATATCGATTAGTATATAAATCAGTGTGTCTTCTTGGCTGAGTGGAATTTGTTTTACCAATTACTTAGTGGATGTTCACAGGTATTTTGGCAGCCTAACAAATATTGACCACTGGTCAACTCCACCCTACAGAGCCCCTATAAATAGCCATTCAAAATTCACAGGAAATGATCATGAAAGAAAACCATATACAGTTGAACTTCTATCAAGCTGCACCATATTGAGCAGTCACCTTATTTAAAGTGGTTGGTTTTTAAAGTTCTGGATTATTTCTTTCCCCCCCCCCCCAAGTACTGTAGTTTTCAGCTCAGTTGTGATCACCCATGACTGAGTTCCAACAAGCCTTTGTTTTGTCGTCCATCTCTATTAGCAGAACCACTGAAATAAAACTATTAACTCTTTAACTCCCAGATCAAATTTGTAATTCTCTTTACTGCCAACCATACAATTTCTATAAAGTTAGTTCAGAGAATTTAGTATTGGATTAACTAATTATCCCCAAATTGATATTTTTCTTTATTCTCATCACTTATTTGGTTGATATTGTATTGATATTGTAAGGAGAAATTCTGTCTTGGTCACTCATAGGAGTTAAAGGGTTATGAATAATCTCTCAAGACAAATTTACTCCATGTTTATCTTCCATTACTTTGATTACTTTGACTTGAAATCCTCAAATTATTGCAGATTATCTTTCTTCTTAGGACTGTTAGTACAAAAGTGCTCTTTTTCATTGTGTTACCCCTATTCTGTGGAACTTGCATTTAGTGGCCAACCTGTATTAAGTAGTCACCTGGCCATTCCTTGTGGGTGAGATATAATACAGGTGCAACTGTATGAAGAACTTTATGAGTGCTTTTGACATATTGATTAGTGAAGAACTATGACTTTCAATTCTCATGTAGTGATTTCCAGTAAGGGGGGTCATTAACAGGTCTGTAAAGAGTAATCGACCACAATCAGTGCTTTACTGTAACCTCTCTTTGGCAGTGTTTTTCATAATTTGGTTCTCAGCCCTTTCCAGCCTACGTGTAG